ATTCTCTCTCTCTCTTTCTCTCCCTCTCCTTCGCCGCCCTCCCCATCACCATCTCCCCCTCCTCCTCTCTCTCCCCTGCCCCTGTCTCCCCGCCCGCGTCCATCCTCCACCTGGTTCCAGCAGGATCATTGGGAGTACATTGACGAATCTGAGATTGGAGCCTGCTCTGAGTTGGCTGAGACGGTGCACCCTTCCCTGTTGCACGTGCGTGTCATTGAGAAGCACCGCTTGACGAGTGCCGAACTCTGAAAACGCAATTCCCAGCCAGGCTGGGTGACAGACGGGGCCTGTCATATGACAGACCAGTCTGTCATATGACAGGCCTGGGGTGGCAGAGAAGACGGGTACGGGGACGGTGCGTAAAGAAACCTAGATCGGCAAGGCCCTCTCCCCCAAAAGCTCGTTATCTTCGTCCACCTCTTCCTTCCCTCCCCTGCCCCCCAGATCCCGACGTCGTTTTTGTTTTACCGCGACGCGGCCCCTCCTGATGGTCCAGCTTTTCGTCGCGAATCGTTGCGCGACGGTCCCAGGGCCCGTTGACGGCCCCAAGGAGGCCCACGACATCGAGGGCACCAAGAAACATGGCCAGAAAACGCCCGTCGTCGTCGGAGACCTGGGGAAGAAGTCGCGGAGGAGGAGGAGGGCCGCAGGAGGGCCTCTTCCCTCGGCCGCAGGGCGCTGCTGCTCTTCCCCCTCTCACATCACCGACGTCGCGGGAAACATACTATGTGTTTTGTTCCTTCGGAAGGCCCTCAACGGGCCTTGGGACCATGAACATTTGCCGCAAGGACCCACGGAAGAGAAAAAAACGGGGTCCACTGCGAAAAAAACGACGTCGGGATGTGGAAGGTGTTATTCTGCTCTCTCTCTCTCTCTCTCTCTATCTCTCTTTCTCTCTCTCTCTCTCTTTTGCGTCTCTCTCTCTCTCTGCTTCTCGCGATGTGTGTAAGATGATGATATAATGACAGAGATTTGTGTATATGATGGCGGTGATATAAATAGCGTGTGTGATGGTGTATATATATACATCGCCATATAAACGAATACATATATACATACACAATTATATACATATATACATGTGTATATATGTACATATACAGACATCTATGTATATATATATGTGTATGAATGTATATATGTATGTAAACATATATATATATATATATATATGTATGCGGGTTCCGGCTTTCTTTTGCGGGATCCCACTATGCGCGCGCGCATGTTCTGGGGAAAACCCTAAAGTATCGCAGGTACCAGGCGGAGTTGACATCCCCACAACTTTTTGTAGGATTGGATCCTCTGGGATCTCGAGCCGTCTTGGAGCGGTCTTGGGGCCGTCTGGGGCATCCTGGGAGCCATCTTGAGCAGGATGGACCCCAATAGATATTAACATGGGTTTCTAATGTTCTGGGAGTCTTGACCCGGGTTCATAATGTCTCGCTTGGAACATTATGAACCTGGGTTTCCATGTTCTGGGGATATTGACTGGGGTTAAGAATGTTCCCTCCGGAACATTATAAACCCTGGTTTATAATGTTCTGGGGATATCGACCCCAAAACATATTCACCTGGGTTCAGAATGTTCCGGGAATATTGACTGGGGTTTATAATGTCCCGGGAATAATGAAACCGATTTTCGTAATTCCGGAAAGATCATCATAATAATTACTTTTCCTCCCCAACTCCCGGGTTCCCCACCAGGTTTAACATGTCGCAATATGGCCCCTGGTTTATTATCTCAAGGAGATAATAAGCCCGGAATCATACTTTTCCGGAATGCTGAACCCTTGTTAATGATTCTGGAATGATAGTGATTCAGTTTGGGGGGCGCCGTTTGAGAGTACGCTCTGGACTGAAATGAACCCTGGCCCATCATGTTGATTATCCCGGAAAGATAATGGTTCGGCCTGGGGAGGGGCCTGAGCCCGAGCCATTCACAAAATAATAATCGATAGGGTATCATCCGCAGATAATGAATATAGGTTTTCGTTCCTAGACAATAAACAAAGGTCGACGAGGATTTCGCGCCTACCCTCATCTTGAGCCAGCTTGGGCTATCTGAGCCATCTTGGAGGTCATCTTGGGCTCTCTGAGGCCGCTCGGGGGGCTCTCGGGGTCTCTCGGGTGCCTCTTGGAGGCCTCTTGGGGCCTCTTTGGGCGCTCTTTGGGCTCTCTTGGGGCTCTCTTGGGAAGTCTGGAGGCCCTCTTGGGGCCATCTTGGAGGCAATCGATCAAAAAGAGGGGGTTCCTTTCTCTTTGCCCCCCCCTCGGGTGCCACGATGCTTGTGAGGAGTGGCGAACAGTGGCCCTCACAGGGGCCGAAAAAAGGACGCTCAACCTCGTCGCGGCCCCCCCCCGTCCAGGTCCAGGGGAGGGGGCACGGGGGGGTCAAGACACCCTCGAGGTAGCAAGCCGTCTAGCTCACTCCCACCCGCCCTCCCAACACATAAGTAACACCTGTGCCTCAGCGTGTTCCGCGCTCGTCTTTTGATGACAGCTACTAGGAACCAAAGCCGAACCCACGCATGGGGCGAGGTGCGCCACGCGTGCCAGGCGCGCCACGCGCGCCAGGCACCCCTGGGGCCCGAGCGTGCCAGGCACGCCTATTGCGCCAGATGCTCCCTCCAGCCGCGCCAGGTGCGCCACGTCCGGGGTACGTGCAAAGTGTGTCAGGTGCGCCTGCGCATGTAACAGCACACATCGGGAAACATGTCGGCCCACACCATCCCTGTCAAAAACCAACGCCCATCATTGTGTCAGGTGGGCCTGCGCATAGCAGGCCATACGCCACCACCCCCGCCGTCTCTGACAAAAACCACTTGATAATGATCGCGGGGTGGCCGCGCACTGTCCATATTTAGCCGCGATGTGCATTATGCATTGTGTGTTTTTCATGGATGGTAGCCCTGCGCGCAGCAGGCAATATGCTGACACCCCGCCGTCCCTGTCGAAAAACAAAGTGCTGGCGGGTCTCACGAACATGACTCCAGACTTTGCCCCAAAGTGTACTGTGTATTGTTTTTTGGCAGGGATGGTGGGGGGGGGGGGGGGCGCATCGGGTTGGTTGCGCATGCTCCAGATTTGGAGGCAGAGAGTGTTTTGCATTTTTTGTTGAAAAGGGATGGTGGGGGGGGGGCTTCATGGTGTGCGCATGGTTCCGGGTTGGCTGCCGACTGGGTGGGGGAGGGGGTGTTTATTTATAGGGAACAGTGGAAGAGGAAAGAGACCCTCCTTAGACCACCTGTCGCCCAAAGGGCTGGTGGGATTATCACATTCCAGATCTCAGGATGCACCGACCCTGGCCAGGCTGGCCCTGAGGGGGGTGATTACTCAGTGGCCACATGTCAACTCTACCCCCCCCTCGCCACAATCTCTAAGGGCGAGTGGGGGTTCACTCCGCTCGGGACGTCCTTAGAAATCGTGGGGGTAGGGGTAGGGTTCACATGTTGCCACCAAGTGATAAGGGGGGAGGTTATCATGGCGGGGGCCGTGATATTTTCCCAGATTTCATGGCGCCTCTTCTTATTCAACCCGTCCCCGGCCCGCTCTGGGCCGCGCACGTGCCGCCGGCCATGACTTGCATCCCCCGTTATTGGACGCCCCCCTCTTTGGACGCCCCCGACTGGTGTAGTTAGAGTTGGCGGGGGCGTCGGGTACATGAAACGAAGATTGTCGCACAACGCGGGGCGCGACGGCGTGAAGGTGGGTGACTCGGAGATGCCACCGGAACTCGTTCTGAGCCGTGGGGTTGGGAGCTCCGGCCGTGCTTTTCCTCGCGGCGCTGCGTGCTTTCCCTGCTTACTTCGGACGTCTGCCGCTTTGCTTCTGTGCGCTCCACTTCGGGCCTCGCTTCGCAACACCAAGCATCCGTTGCAGGGACGGATCGGCGCATGCGTCCAGGATGCTGCAGAACATATCCCTATCCCTATGCTGGGCATCTCCTCATCACGATGCCAGTCTTAGGGATTCCCTTATTTTTTGAGGGCGCATTCTTAAGATTGTCATCGCCTTTTGGCGTGTCAATCTTAGGGATAGGGATCAGTTCGAGGCTGGTAAGACCCTGGAGGATTCCTTCTCTGATGAGGGTGGCGGTGATCGGAGGTGACCGGTCTGCGGCTTGTTTGGCATCCAGGCAGGCCCTCGCCGCCACGCCGGAAGTCGCTGTGAAATGCTGGTCAGAAGGCACCCTGGGAGATGTCCAGGGAGCAGCGGTATCAGTGCTGCCTTGTTTCCCTATGGATGAAGGCGCCTTTTTGTATCCCCATTGATGAGTAGGGGGGCACATGCGAACCCTACCCCTACCCCCCACGATTTCTGAGGGGGAGGGTGGGGTTCACTTCGTTCGGGAACTCCCGAGCGAAGTGAACCCCATCCTCCCCCTCAGAAATCGTGGGGGGTAGGGGTAGGGTTCGCATCTAATGAGGGCGGCGGTGATATCCACGGCTACTCCACTGGCTTGCAGACCCTGTATTCCTTGCCCAGCTGTTCCTTACCCAATGCCCTCACCGTGCAGTCGATGCGCACAGGAAGGGTGAGCGACTGTCCGAGATGACCCTCGCATCCTTCCCCCCCTTTGGCCTAGCCTTGGCCACTTTCGCTGGCCGCGCTCCGCTCGCAACGTGTCGACGTGGCCTTCCGAGGCCATTGTAGCGGCGATGCGGCTCGATGCGGAGCCCGATTTTCTCCACGCCGACGTCGCGGATGCGTCGCCGGCGCCGCCGATGCGTCTCCGATGCATCGACGACGACGCATCGGCGATGCATCGGCGATGCGGCGCGATCCTTCGACCGCATCGACTCCGATCCCATCTGGGAAGCTTCTATTACTGTGCATCAGTGGGCAGAGAAGGAGGAGGAGGAGGAGGAGGAGGAGGAGGAGGAGGAGGGAGGAGGAGGAGACGGAGGAGGAGGAGGAGGAGGAGACGGAGGAGGAGGAGGAGGAGGAGGAGGAGGAGGAGGAGGAGGGGGAGGAGGAGGAGTTGGCGCCCTCCTCGCAAGGAGATGGCCTCGCAATGGCTGCCGGGAGACTTCGCGGTCTGCCTCTGGGCGGAGCGCCTCCGGTCTGCCGTCGGCCCCGCCGGCCTGGAGGGGGGCACCGGCCAGCGGAACGCCTCGAAGCACCAGCGCTTCGTGAGCTTCTCGGGTCGGGCGAAAGGGGGGGATTGGGAACGGGGGGGGCTACGAACTTTGCTGCATGCAGCTGGTTTCGGCCTCACCGAGGGGCCCGTTCCTTAATGCATGGCCGCCTACGGCGCCGGGAGGCGCCGGGAAAATCAGCTACGTGAGCTGATTCTCAACCCCCACCCTTTGCTATCCCCCCTGTCGCCCGACCCGAGCTTCATGGGCAGCTGGGCCCTGACGCAGTTCGAGGACATCGAGCCGGGCGAGACCAGGATGTCGGGGCAGCGACATTCCTCAGAGCCCCGGATCATCAGGGGTAACTCGGGTCAGGGTTAACTCGAGTTCGTTTTTCGGGAATCCGAACCCGAGTTATCCCGGACCCGAGTTACCCCGGATATTTCGGGCGTCCAGAGCCCCGAATCATCAGGGGTAACTCGGGTCAGGGCTAACTCGGGTTCGTTTTTCGGGAACCCAAACCCGGGTTACCCCGGACCCGAGTTACCCCGGATAACTCGGGCGTCCAAGTTCCCCGAGAGCCGGCGCGGCATTCTGTTCGCGGCATTCTGCCCTGCTTCGGGGCTGGGGCCAGCAAAGATCGACCGGGCTTGAGAAGTGCCTCAGAAGGATGGGGTCCAGGGCCCCAATCGTGTCTTTTTACGTTTGCGGTGATGCGATTGCTGTTTGGATCTCAGGGCTCGGCGGTACGCCGAGGGAGGCAGCGAGAGCGGCAGGGGCCGATTTTTTCAGAAGGCGGCGGGGCTTCGCAGCAGCCCTCTGGCCTTCCGAGAAGCCCTCCGCGGCCTCGGAGAGGGTTCGACAAGCTTTTCAGAAGCCCAGAGTCATCATTTTTTCGGGCATCAGGGAGCCAACGTGCTTCCGGCGCTCCGGCGCCACCGCCGTGCTCTTTATAGGGCCGTCCTCCGGGACGATCGTCGGCGTCCTGTCCTGTCCTGTCATCTGCCTGCCTCCCTTTGGAGCACCTCCGAAATGTGGGAGGCTAGATCGGCTCAGGGGGAGAAGCATCGACTGTTGATCCCCAGTATGGGGCCTGCGGTTGGCCGCCCGGCCTAAGAACTTTTGGTTTTTGTTCGCCATCGGGGGCCCCTCGGGGATCCATCGGCGATGTGTCTCCTCCTCCTCCCTCCTCCTCCTCCTCCTCCTCCTACTCCTCCTCCTCCTCCTCCTCCTCCTCCTCCTCCTCCTCCGCCGGTTTCAGCTCCACCTTATCGTTCCCTCTCAAGGGAGTTCCCCACCTCGCTGACGTCCTTCCAGCGCTTCGTGTTGCACCGCCTGGCTACCCACGTCGGGTGGGAGCACGAGTCCCGCGACGTCCCCGTCGCGAAGCGCCACCTGACATTTCATCCCAAAGGCGCCGACTCGAAGGAGGAGATCATGGCCCGGCAGATCCTGGTGACCCGTCCCTCCAAGGCCCACGCCTGGGATCTGTCCACGCCCACCCGTCGACCGCTTGGGAGGAGTGCCCCCTGAGGGCCTCTCGGAACGTTGGATGTGGACACCCTCAGGCCAGGCCCCTCAGGGCGAGAGCTGCCCGCACGCGAGGCTCCGCGGGTCCTCGGGGCACGCCTCCGAAGCGGCAGGGACACGGCTGCGGCCAAGAGTCGGCGAAGCAGGGGAGCAGCCTCGGTCTCGGACGGGGGCTCGCGCTTCCTCGGGCCCGCCCCTGGCTCACCGAGCGCGTTGCACTGCTCCAAGAGTGCCTGCTCGCAGACGTCAGGAAAACCACACACACACACACGTCTGCTTTGAGATAATGTATGGCGTTATGATGTTCCAAGCTACTTTAGCTTGGACCATCAGAAAGAATTTCGAGCGCCAGAAAAGTACCCCCAAACTCAAGGTTTTCACGTGTCGGGCCCTGGGAGACACTCGTCCGACACTGTTCCGACACCGTTCCGACACTTCTCCGGGTGCTCGAGATTATTCCTGGGATGTGGTCCTTAAAGTACGATGGGAACAACATAAGTGTGGCGGAGCCACCGCCATTTGCGAGTATAGTTTGTCTGCGAGCAGTGGAGAGCGCGCTCGCCTGCCGGCGGTTCTTTTCCCCCCGCCCCCCCCCGCGATCTCCCCTCGTGCACCAAGGGCGCCGCGGGGCTCCGATCGGCGGGGCTTCCCGCTCTCCCGAGCTCTGGCGCCTGCCTCGTGGGTGAATGGCCCCTCGGCTCGGTGCACCCCCCCCGGGCGCCGCGGGGCTCCTCGGGCCCCCGGGCGCCGCGGGGCTCCGATCGGCGGGCCCCCCGCTCCCGAGCTCTGGCGCGTGCCTCGTGGGTTAATGGCCCCTCGGACCTGTGCACACCCCTGGAGGGGGCGGGGGGCGTCGGCGCGCCCAGGGTCAAGTCGGGCCTGTCCCCCTACAGGGGGCTTTTCGAAGGAAAATAAAACATTGACCCCAAGAAATATCCCCAAAATATTCCGAAAATAGTCTGGGGACTATTTTTGGGGGTATGTTGGACCTTTTGGGGGTATTTAATCGCTTCGCTCATTCCGCCGGCCCGTATTGTGCCATCGCAGGCGTTTGCTTGCGCGTTCGTGGCCTCTTGGAGCCTCGGTGGGGCCGTTTGGGGCCTCTTGGCGCCTCTTTTTAGGCCTCTTGGAGAACTCGGGAGGCCTCCAGGGGGCCTCCTGAGCTCTCGTGACGGTCTCTTGGGGGGCTTTCGGCGGGCTCTTGGCGGTATTTGTTGGTCCTCTTGGGGCCTGGGGCCTGACGTTGTTGGTCCTCTTGGGGCCTCACGGGAGCTTATTGGGGCGTCTTGGGGGTGTCTTGGAGAGTCTCTTGGGGCCTCTTTCGGGGTCCTGGGCGCCTTCTGGGGCGGAGGGCTCGATTTTTCAGTTCTCGGTTCCCTTCTTGAGCCCCTCTTGGGCCCGTCTTGGGGCCTCTTGGTCCGCCTTGGGCAGCACTTGGGCCGTCTGGGGGGCGCTCTTGGGCCGCTCCGGGGCCGTCTTGGGAGCCTCGTGGGCCGTCTTGGAGCAGTCTTGAAGGCCTCTTGGGCCCTCTTGGAGCGTCCGGAAGCGAAAAGGCCAGAACGCAAAAAAACATAGAAAAAACCAATGAAAATCAACGATTTTGGCAACTTGGGGCCCTCTTCGGAGGCCTCTTGGAAGGCCCTTGGAGCGTCTTGGAGGCCTCTTGGGCTGTCTTGGGGCCATCTGGGGCGTCTTCGGGCGATCTTTGGCCGTCTCGGGCCTTTCTTGGACCGTCTAGAAAGCTTCTCGGGGCCCTCTTGGACCGATCTGGAGCCCTCTTGGACTCCGAAACAGAACTCCGGCATCTCTGACCCGACATTGCCGGGGACTTGCCGGGACCTTGCCGGGGTACTTTTCGTCCGGGGACCCCCAGGGGCCGCCCCGCGCGCGCGAACTAGAAATACTGTTAACCAGGTACCGGAGATCTTAGCACGCCCTGGCCCGTTGGGCCGGCGAATTTGTAATGTCGGGCTTGTTCCCCATACAGGGGGATTTTCGACGAAATATTAAAGATACCCCACAAATATTCCCAACATATTCTAAAAATAGCCTGGGGACTATTTTTAGGAGTATTTTTTTGACCTTTTTGGGTATGTTTGGAGTATTTTTAATGTTTCGTCGAAATTCCCCCTGTAGGGGGACACGCCCGACAGAAGCCCAGGGTCGGAGGTTGGCAGGCCTCCTGCCGTGGCACGTCGATTCGCGAATTGGCCGTGCTCGGTGCGCGAGAGGGCGTCGCGGCCGTCGTTTTCGCGGGCCCGGGTCCGTCGGTTGCGGTCCCGGGCCGCTTTCACGAAGGGGTGGTCTGCGAAGGGGAGGTCTGTCCTCCGCCGACGGGGGGGAAGGCAGAGGGGGTGGGACTCTTCAAGAAGGCTCGGAGGGCCTCTAGCCTGAAGTCGGGCATGCCTCTCTACAGGAGGAGTCTGCAAGAACAGTCTAGAAACAGTCCGGGGACGATAACAAACAGAAAAACTCGTGTTGAGCATTTTTGTCTATGTTTCTTTGCCCCTGCAACTTTCCAGAAGCCGCCTGCAGGAGGACGTGCCCGACCTCATCCTGGCCCTCCGAGGAGCTCTTTGAGTCCCCTCCCAGCTCCGCGACGGCTTCCCGGGAGGCCGGAGGGCCTCTGTGAGTGAGGCGCCCCGCCTCCCTCCGAGGGGCCTGCCCCCTCTCGCTTCCCCCCCCGCTCGGCGCGCCGCCGGCGAGGGGGCCCCCGAGCTCAAGAACCTGGACATCCCGGCCGCGGCCTTCCTGGCCGACGTCCACGAGCGCCGCGAGGCGCGCGGCGAGCGCGGCAGAGGGAAGGGCCAGGCGCCGCAGGAGCGGGGGAGGGCCGCAGCGGCTGGTGGGGTCCAAGCAGGGCGTGCAGCGCCGGGAGCCCTTCCCCTGGCAGCGGCTGGAGACGGCATGTTTGAGTTGCGTGCGGTGGGGCGCATGGTCTCATCCAGAGTTGTACATCGATTGTTCCATCCACCATGTCTCTTGCATGCGCGTTCTCTTGCCGTGTTGTTTCACGCCCTCCGTCTCCGCTTGCGGAGCGAGCGGCCTCCAAGCCCCCCGGCCGAACTTGGCTTGGTTTGAGGGTGTGCACGTCTTGGAACGATGTGGGGTTCAGGGGCAACTGGTAGGCTTGGCATCGCTCGGACGTGTGCACCGTTTCCTCTGCGAGGGCCCTCGAGGAACATCTCGACCATCCTGCGAAAAAGTGCGTGCACGAGGTCCAGAAATTCACGGGCAATGGACGTCCGAGCGATGCCAAGTAGGGGGGGTGGGCTCAGGGGGGACGCATCGACCCCCCATCGCCCATTCATCGCCGAGAGGGGCCCCATAGCCCGCCCCACCCAGGAACGTGCGGACTTTCTATCGGGGGCCTACCGCCGACCTGTCGATGTCTCCCTCCTGAGCTGGTCCCCCCTTCATCGTTACCCCTCAACAGAAATCCAGTGGTCTTCGACCCATCCCGCCAACCGTGCCTGGGTTGCAGTTCAGAGACTTCTTGGATGCCTGCTGGGATCTCGTGAGATGCCTCTCGGAGGCATCTTGTAGGCAGTTTTCGGGTATCCGTGGGCCTCTCGGGTGCCTCTTGGAGCCTCATTTGGGCCTCTTGGGGCCTCCTGCGCATTCTTTCTTGGGTGCGTCATGGGCGCCTGCTGGCGATCGCGGAGCCCTCCTTGGGGCGGAGGGCTTGAAATCTCCGCTCGAGTTCCCAATCTTTCAGGAGCGGAACATTCACACAGACACAAATAATCGCCGGTCCCCCAGAAAATATGGAACATTTGGGAAGTGGATGGGGAAGACGAACATCCAGAGCATCTGGCACATATGGGGAATCCTTGGATTTGAGTCTATGTATGGTGTGTGTGTCCCTGAGCCCCTGCAATCTTGGGACCTCTTGGGGCTCTCTTGGGCCACTGTTGTCGCGTACTAGGCAGACTTGGACTCTCGGCTCTTAGGCTGTCTTGAGGCGATCTCGGGAGCCTTCTTGGCCGTCGTGGACGCTGGGGTAGCTTAAGAGGCGAATCTGTCGCCGCGCCGTTTGTTTGTTCCGACGCGCGGCATTTCGTCTTGGGGAGGGCGCCGCGGCTATCAGGGCAAATTCCGCCTCCGGCTCGGTGGGTTTGCCGCGGCGTTGGCCTCGTTTGCTTGGACGCGGGGCGCAGGGCTTGCCGTGGGTTTGCCGTGGTGTCGGTGTCGTCCACTTGTGTTCGTTGAGAACAAGCGGCGCTGCGACATATGTTCAATTTGTACGTGTTCATCTAGGCCCAGTCGACGGGCGGCGACGAGGCGGCGATGGGGCGGCGACGGCGAGCACAGAATCGCAAGGCTGCCCGTCAAGCCTAGTTCCTTAGAAGAGGAGTGAACACATCTAAGTGCAAGCTCTGTTTTAGAGATGCACGTCTGTAGACGCGTGTGTAGATCTATAGATATACATATAAATACGTAGCACCCCGCAGATGCTGATAAGAGTGAGGAGGCGGTGGGGACGTTGGCAGTCTGCGGGACTCTGGAGAATCTCGCCGCAGGCGCCAAAGTTTCACAACTTATACAACGAGCCCGCCGCAGGCGCCGATTTTCCTTCAAACCAATGTGGATCGGTCGCGGGTGGGTCGCGGGTGGGTCGCGGGTGGGTCGCGTCGCGGGTGGGTCGCGGGTGGGTCGCGTCGCGGATGGGTCGCGGGGTGGGTCGCGGGTGGGTCGCGGGGGGGGTGGGTTGGTCGCGGGTGGGTCGCGGGGTGGGTCGCGGGGTGGGTCGCGGGTGGGTCGCGGGGTGGGTCGCGGGTGGGTCGCGGGTTGTGTCGCGGGTGGGTCGCGGGGTGGGTCGCGGGGTGGGTCGCGGGGTGGGTCGCGGGGTGGGTCGCGGGGAGGGCCGCGGATGGGTCGCGGGGTGGGTCGCGGGTGGATCGCGGGTGGGTCGCGGGGGGGACGACCACAGCAACAACAACAACAGCAACAACAACAACAGCAACAGCAACAGCAACAGCAACATAATCAGCAACAGCAACAACACCAACAACGTAACAAGCAGAATCTTTACCACGGATTCTCACTTCAGCCACGCACCCAGGGACAATGAATGACTGCTCGGCCCCTTCACTCTGTAACGCGGTCCAGGTGCCGCGGTGCGCACAGTGACGATTGGATAGGCTGGGCGGGGCCAGGTAGGGACGGGGGGTCCTGCAGGCCTGGATGACACTTGTCTTGGATCGAATCTCAAGTGAACGGAGAAAGAGGCTACGCAGTGGAAGTGTTTGCGATCACAGGGAGAAAAGCTGAGTGAACGAGATCGACGGGCGCTTCATCCCAGGACGGACAATCATAAAGATGCCGCGGAGTGGTGAACGTGGAGGGAGGGACGCGACGGCACAAGTCGACATGGTCGCGCGATCGGCTCGGCGCATTCGTCATCTGGACTTGCGCTTGGTGCGGTAGTCTTTTCTTTGGATCGAGTCTCAAGCACTAGGAGACAGAGGCTGCGCGCTTCGCCGCCTTAGGGGCAATTCGGGCCAAGTTGCCTACGGTGCAACATCGAACGAGCATCGCCGACGATGGGACCGGAGGCAGTGGGGAGAGGTGGTTTTTCAAGCAGTGTGCAGTTGGGGTTTCAAATAACTTTGGGGTCTCAACCCCCACTCAGTTTTTTGACCCCCCCGCTAAATCAGTGGAAGACGTCCGAGAGCGTGCCTCAAATCGGGGGCGGCCGGGACGGGGGGTGGGGTGACTAGGGTGTGTGTGTGTGTGTGTGTGTGTGTGTCTAGGCGTGCGTGCGTGAGTGTGTGTGTGTGTGTGCTGTGTGTAGGTGTGAGTGTGTGTGCTTGTTTGTGTGTGCGCGTGTGTGTGTGTGTGTTTGCGTGCGTGCGTGCGTGCGTGCGTGCGTGCGTGCGTGCGTGTGTGTGTGTGTGTTTGTGTATGTGCGTGTGTGTGTGTGTGTGTGTGTGTGTGTGCGTGTGAGCATGTGCGTGCGTGCGTTTGTGTGTGTGTGTGTGCGTGCGTGTGTGTATGGGTGTGTGTGTGTGAAAAGCATGGCGGGGACCATGATATATCCCAGCTCTCATTGCCCCTCTTCTCCATTCAGTACGCCTCCTGCCCCCCCCGGGCCGCGCACTTGCCTCGGGCCATGATTTGCGAAGCCCTCCTCTTGGAGGCCCCCTTCTTTGACGCCCCCGACCAGAATGCTTCAAGAGGGCTCCCTCTGCGCTCTGATGTGGCCGCGGCTCTCGATACATCTCGACACATGTCACAGGTTCCCGATACTTCCCCAAACAGTGCTTGCACTGAGGGGTCCTTGCTTTGCTTCTGTTCCCTTAGGGAACTTGGCCTGGTCGGCGGTCTGGCGGGTATGTTGCCGCCGTCGCCGCCCCGTCGCGGGCTCGTCGCCGCCTCGTCGCCGCCTCGTCGCCGCCTCGTCGCCGCCCGTCGTCTGGGCCTGGCTGGCGGTCTGGCAGCATATAGTCTCTGTTCTATATGTATGTATGTATGTATGTATGTATGTATGTATGCATGCATGTATGTATGTATGTATGTATGTATGCATGTATGTATGTATGTATGTATGTATGTATGTGTATATATATATATATATTAAACCCCCCCAGGTTTATCGGTCCACCTTTTCGCATTGCAAATTCAATATGATTTTGCCCCACCGCCCATCCTTAAAACGGAATTCGTACCATCCCAGCCACACCCGGTTCGACCCCCCTTGTCATCAGATGAAGCAGTTCTATGCGAGCGCACTCGTTTCTCAAGCCTTATCAGTTTCCATACATTCCTGGCAAACAAAGTGCGACGAAGTCGTGCGCGTCGTCGCGCGAGCATGCCGAAATCCATTGAAACCATCGTTTTCGAAAGGATTTCAACATCGAGTGCCCAAACACATGTGCAAACAAAATCATGGTTTCGCAACGCGGATATTCAACAAACACGCGCGCGCTCTTGCGAATCCTTAAGGAACAATCGGCTTTCAGCACATTGTTATCAAACGGGCTTCGCGCGCGCCTGTTGAAATCGTTCGAACGCCTTTGCGCGCGTGCCGTCGCAAGAGTCCTTTGCAACATACAGGGCGAAGTGCGCTCGCGGGTCGTCCCGCGCGCATGCCAGAATCCCTGAAACAACGCTCGGTTTTGTAACGATGTCAAAACGGAATGTCCAAAACACATCGAACAACACATGGTTTCGCAACTTCAGTTTTCATCAAAGCGTGCGCGCGCGTTCTTGCGAATTCTTACGAACATCCAGGGTTTCAACATTTTCATTGGATTCTGCCAAACGGGCCTCTCGCGCCGCATGTCGACATCATTCGCACACCCATGCGCTCGTGCTGGGGGGGGGGCGCGATCCACATCAAACATACCACGTGGGCCACTCTCGCGCGGCGGCCGCGCGCGCATGTCGAACTCTTTCCAAAACCTCCACCACCGACGCGAGGGCGCTTTCATCGTCCTTGGCGAGATCAGCATCCGCGCCGTGACTGGCCGTGGTCGTCGCTGTCAACATCGTCACCAGCATCTCTTCTGCCACCACCGTGTCTACCGTTGTCGACGTTGCCATGCTACCGCGCCCGCCCACTGCGCCGACTCGCAGTGAAGTGCCCGCTGGGATGTGCCCAGCGGTCAGCGCCACCGCGGCTGCGTCGGTTGCGCCAAAGTGCATGCGCGCGCGTACGTGCATGCGCGGGCTGTCGCGGCCGCAGAGGCGCACCAGCCAGCGCCAAGCACTCACCGCATTCGCCGCCGCATGGGGTTTGCAAACCAAGTTGCGGGTGGGTGGGAGGGATATTTGCGCGGGCAGTGGGGTGGACAATTTCACGTTGTGCATTGCTT